CTGTCTCTGGTGAAGCCTCTCGCCGCCCCTAAGCCTCTGGCCTGTACCCCAGTTCTGTATACACAAATAAATAAATCTTTAAAAAAAAATAATAATTCCACAGATACGTAATGAACAAAACATACTAAACTTTTGCCCATATAGCTATATAAAATAAAATTTGTATTATCAAGAAAAGGTAGGGAGATCTATATTTAACTTTTATTTTAGTATTTTATGCAGATCCCAGAGTTCTGGTTTAGTATATCAAAGGAAACCTTTCTCCTGTTTGTACAGTTAGACCAGATTTCTATTTTTCCCTGCGCTCACACTCCACCTTTCAAAACTCTCCCTCAAGGTTTTTTCCCACATAAAATTTACCAGTCTCAGAGGAGAAAGGGAAATTATCTACCACTTCTTAACATTTTCCCTAAACATCATTCCTTTTAAAATACAAACTAGCTCTTAAAATCAGATTTGTTAAAGCCACTGGTTCCTTCTGTTTCTTGACAAGATGAGAGACCATCTCTTCAACATTGCCTGTCAACCTACCGTGGAGAGGAGTCTACATTTAAGAGCCACTGATATTGTAAAGCTGTTTTATTAACAGTAAACAGCTTTACTGATATCGTAAAGCTATTTTATTATCTTTTGAAAACTTTTTAAAAATTTCTTTATCCCAAGTTTATTATGATAACCTTCACGGCTGTGTTAAAATACCCTTTCAATAAGGCTTTCACATGACAAAATTATTATTATTATTTTTTAAAGATTTATTTATCTGTACAGAACTGAGGTACAGGCCAGAAATGCGAAGGGTGAGAGGATTCACTAGAGACAGAGTGGGAAGCAGAACAGGCAGATCAACGAAGTACACTGCAGCGGGAGGGTCAGGAGAGGTCTGCCGCGCCATGTGGTCACCTCCGGGACAGGCGGGGATCGAACTCATGTGGAAGTGGCTTAAGCTTCTTTGTGCTGTGCTTTAACCCGCTGCGCCACCAGGGAGGGCCCAGATTTCTATTGGGCTTCAGATAAACAATGAATAATTTTCACATAAATATGTCTCATGCAAAATATGTATTTCTCTGGCAATCCCATCCTCCATCAATGCATTT